TCGTCTGCAGAAGCCCAGCATCGGGATGACTTAGTGCCCACTTCCTTCCTCACCTGCAGCTGAGAAGCGTTTTTCTCCCCCCTCACTTGGTCCCTTTGGATACAGATCGACCCAAGTCAGAAATCGAGGCAGGAGAGAGACCCTTTTTGTTCTAGTCTTTCCATGGTAGTTTCAAACTCTGTAACTGCAGGAATATCTGTCTCCTCACAACAGAGCCCTGGATTTTTCCTACCCTCACCTTCCCTCCTTCTCTTCTCTTTGTTTCTTCTCTCTGCTGCTTTACCCCAAGTAATCTTCTTTTGCTCCTCCTGCTTCTCTTCCTCCTTTCCCATCTCCAGCCCTGTACCCCTTCTCACTGCCCTTGCTTCTCAAAAGAGGCTTCTGTCCGTTCCTTTGTCCCTGCAGCACCCAGCTCTGCCCAGGGGAGATGGGAAGCCCTGGTCCGACCATTCTCATGCAACAGGCTCGGGCGCAGCGCAGTGATTTTCACAGCGCCGATGCTCCTGGTGAGCCTCTTTCCCATCCACTACTCAGGTACTTCAGTGATACAGACCCTCACACAGGTAAGGTCTTGGTTTTCTGAAACAAGCCCACATCTTAAATTAACCTCTAGGAGAGGTGTTTTGTCTTTTCATGGGTCTATAATTACCAAGCTTACCAGTGCATGGTATAAATAATTCTCTTTATTGGCAAGTTTCAACTATGTGCTCAGCCTATACAAGACACAATGATGCAGAAAGTTCTCGTCCCAGATAAAAGATAAACATGGGGGAAACAGGAGCTAAAGGACAGAGAGAGTCATTATTTTTCAAGTATTACATTCCATTCTGTAGGTGTTACAAACAGGACTGAGGCTTAAAAGAAGGATGTGAGTAAGATGGCAATAACCTGGAGACAAAGATGTCTGCAGCTCTTGTGTTTTTCCTGATCCCACCTGATTTTCAGGGCTTTCCCTGGCTCTCAGGTCTGACCACTGAAAACAAGGATCCAACAGCGTGTTGCTGCGAGGCTCGCTCGCACGCCCTCAGAGGCCGGTACCTAGCTGGCTGTTGGAAGGGTTCTTTGGAGACCTTTTGCCTTCTGAATGGAAAGCCAGAAACTACAGAATCCATGTGGTGCTTGGGAACGGCCTTTGCTGAGGTAGTTTGTTGGCCAGGCAAAGCCAAAGCGCCAAATGAATTAGCTGCACGACAAAACATCTTCCTCTTTCTCCAGGTTCCTGACGCTTCTGAAGAGTTTCTACACACTCGTCAGAAAACTCTCTGCAGTAACCCAGCAAGGCTGAACTTGCCCTGGATCTTCAGAATCCCAAGGGAGGACAAATGGAGGTGAAGATGGGTGAAAACAGTTCTGAAAAGACACAACAAATTCTGCCCACAGGGGCGTGGTCCACAAAGAAGTGTGTAATATCGGTATTTCAGTGGTTATCTATCTGAGCAGCTCACTGAGAGAGGCCCTCAAGGAAAAAAAAGGGTGAATTTTGGTTTGACATCTGAATATGAGATTTTAAAAACATGTTTCATTAAAAACATGTCTTCACCATGAGTGCTCCAGAAGCAAAGAGGGCAGAGTGCGACCCAGCTGGGGAAAAAAAAAAAAAGAAAAAGAAAAAAGAACCATGTGCACTGCAAATTCACTAACATTTTCCATTGTATCCACACGGGAAGGAAATGTTTACTCCCTCTATCGTGGGGCTGCCACAGCTTGGTGGGGCTAAGAAGGAGATTTCACTCTGGGTTCTCCTGAATGCTGATCGAGCTGCTTTTCAGGGCTGTCTCTGCAACAGTACGGGGAAGAAGATGATTTGAAGCCAAGGAGGTCAGAATTAGGGTTCATATATCTAGACAGCTGGAATACAGATTTGCTTTCTTAAGCCTGGTCAGCTAGGAAGGATAAAATACAATATTGTTTTTCCTCCCAACAACAAAACCAACAGATCTGCCCATAAAATTATCACCTCTTTTAATTTCTAAGTTAGCGGCTTTTAATTCATATCCCCACTGACAGAAAACTTGCTTGCAAGAAAGAGCAAAGCCCTGATTTTGCTCATGCAAACCATTAGTTCATCCTACCAACATGGTAACTCCTGGGTAGCGATGCCCTCAAAGCATCACCTGTGCTACTCACCCTACCTGGCACAAGTGTTGCCTTGAGCAATGACAAAACAAGGGGAAATGGGTTTAAACTGAAAGAGGGGAGGTTTAGATTAGATATTAGGAAGAAGTTCTTCACTGTGAGGGTGGTGAGACACTGGCCCAGGTTGCCCAAGGAAGTTGTGGATGCCCCCTCCCTGGCAGTGTTGAAGGCCAGGTTGGATGAGGCTTTGAGCAACCTGGTCTAGTGGAAGGTGTCCCTGCTGATGGCAGGGGGGTTGGAACTGGATGAGCTTTAAGGTGCCTTCCAACCCAAACCACTCTGTGATTCTATGAGCGTGTTTTGTACAGCGCTAAAACCAACAAAGATAATGAGAATACTCATGACAACACTAATTCTTCCAGCCAGGTCACAGGCTCACGTTCCCACTCTGACCACAACCCACCTTTCCAGCTGTTTGGATTGCAAGGAGAAGGGAAAAAGCGACTTCTGCAAAACTTCCTCTATTTCTGAGCAAAGAAGCAGGGTTGACTTCTCAAAGCCCTTAGCACTGGGCTGAGAGCCAGGACTGTCTCTGATACGAGTTTCCTCTGTGGTCTCATCTCTTCCTTCATAACAGAGATTTAAAAGCCACTTATTTCCCACCAATGACAAGCAATGACATAAGAATTAGTTAATATCTTGATGGTGGTTTGGAAATACAAAACTTGAGTCATTATAACAGCTTCCCAAAGAGCAGAAGTTTTAGTACAAAGTCACTCTCTCTCAAATATTATGTGAGGGAAAAAAAAAACCCCAATCCAAACCCAGAAGACAAGCTTGAGCTTTAAGCTGTCAAAGAGTTTAAATTTCTCCCTTGACTGGAACCTCAGAGCAGCCAGAAAAAAAGACATTTTCCTTTGTATTTAGCAAATACCAATTCCCCTTCCACCCTATGGTTGCTAATTGGGCAGAGATAACCCCAATTTACTTGTGTCAATGTAGCAGCATCATTGCCAGTGTGAGTGCAGCCCTGGGAATGCTCCTTGCCTATTGACAGATACCGCTGCAGAGCCAGGAGGGAAAGGATCCAGACAGGATCAGCAAGAGAGGGAGAAAACTATCTGACAGCATCAAGAAGTCTAAGTTAAGATCATTTCTCTGCCAGGTAATGATTAACTAAAGGCATCCTTTTACAGTCTGGAACACAAGTGCTGTAACAAAAGGGACATAAAAGTCTATACTTCTCTACATGGATTCTGGAGGCAAGCAGATGCCTCAGAAAAGCAGTAACAGCCGATCTCACATCTCCTGGTGGGTTAACTGCGCTCACATTTAAATACGGCTACCGGTGAAATTTCATTTCCATCCCCTCGTGGGTGAACTGGCAAAGAAAACAGAAGGACTATCAAGTCTTCAGGCGTAGCTTCCTACCCACAAATAGTGCAGTGCTTCCGAGAGAGCTCGGAAGATAACACGAGGAAGAAGAACAGGAGAGCCATGAAGACTCAGTACACCTGTCCCTAGAGACTGCCTCTTACCAGGAACGTACTCAATGCTTCAGAAGGTGATGTTAAGAATTACCCAAGTGACCAGCTAGAGAACAATGTGGCCAAAAAGGCAGTTTCTCCTGAGTACCTGCTCCTTAGCTGCTGGCTCACATGCTAAAGAAAGAAGGCTGATGTTCAGTTTGGTTTTTTCTCTTCATTCCTTGAAATACAGAGTCTGTCATTTAAATGCTATGGGTTGCTGGCCCAGTGCTGCCCTATGGCAACGACCCCCACTGGTAACTGGCTTGACACAAGGACATTTTTAGTTTGATCAATTTTGACGTTGTCTGCCTAGCTGTCTCCCTGCCACTCGTGCTAACAGATCCTTCCAGCTCCGCTAGTTCCAGAGCAGAACTCGAACATCAAAAGACAGAGTCAAGGTTATCACAGGTTCAGCTGAGAAGTGCACCTAAGAGTCACTTTCCCGACTACAGACAAATGTGAGAACTCGGGATATCAATTCTGAGCTCAGAGCTGAAAATAGTGCACACTCCTACAGAAGGAACAAAAGTCCTTAAAGGGCAGAAGGGCAACCTAAAGGAGAGGGAAGAAAACAACTCCCGAGAACCCTGCAGAAGCACACTTGGCTGTGGCAGCAAAGAGACTCTCTCAGGCTATGTAGTGTCTGAAGTATTCACTTCTTCTCACTCAGATCTGCATCCCTGAAATCCAAAGCTTTTCTCTCTCCCACTAGAAACAGCTGAGCAGCTCTGCCTTGCCACCCACCGCTCCCTCTCAAGGGCACCACACCAGGGACTCTGCCTCACATCGTGTGACTAGTGGCTCAACTCTGCTCCCGCTGGAAGCAAAGGGAGTTTTCCCAGTACTTCCAGTGGAAACGGGGCTGGCCCAAGTGTTTACATGCAGTAGTGAAAATAGGCAGCTGTGGGACACAACCCTCAGTGACTAGATCCAGTGCTCTAAACTGAGCCAGATCCCACCGTACCAGGAAGCACAAGGCAAGCTTTGCTATCCAGAGTGAAAAGATGATGCGTAAGCAATGAACTGCTTAAATGAGAGGATATAACAGGAGGTGATTTCAGTCCAACCAACTCCCTGTCTTTCATTCTCAAGCTCTAATCAGTCCATATCTAGAAACTATAAAAGCCTGAAACAAGTGTGCTGCCAACTGCTTTTCCCTGGCTCACAAACACGTGACAGAACGGAGGAGATAGGGTAACAGCAGAGACAAGCCTGGCAGATCCCCCAGCTGGGGTGAGATCCAGCACTGTAGGATTTGATTTTCTTTCGAGTTTAGCCAGTAGCATTTACGGTATAATCTATGGAAACTGTCCCATTGGATTTTAAAACACAAACACAGCAGAATGTCATCATAAATAAGCAAAGTCTGTGTTAAAAAATTCTAAGTACACAGCGTTTTCTCCAGTTCTGACACCTTTTTAATAGAAATCACTTGTTTAGGAAACAAATAGCACTTTTGTAATTTTTTTTTACAATGTTTCTTACCTTGATCTTATTTTAAGTAACACTAGGAAGACCTCAATATCTTTTATTTTCCTTTTTAATTTAAAAAAGTTGTATTTTTTTTTTCCCCCAGATACAAAGATTTTGCCCTTGCATAAAAAAACAGTGCCCAAAACGATGACACAAGGACTCACAAAGACTCACTGTATCTCACTGACACTATTACTTCTAATCTATACCATGCAAGGTCCCATCTACCTCTTTAATTAGACTGTCAGCCTGAAAAACAGCTTTTCTATTCCTTATTTAGTTCTTGTTACCAAAAGAAGAGAAAGGAAGTGAAAGAAAAGGACATTTCTCTGTTCAGTTCACACATCTGGGTCATGTGCTACTTTGTTCAAGATACCTTTGTTGTTTATAAATATAGAAAAGGGTTGGAATCTCGTTTTCAAGTAATCGATGCACATTTTCTCTTGGGACACCTCCGTCCAATGCTCCAAGCTGACCCTGGATTCTGGCCCTCCATTTTCCCATTCCCAACACAGGCTTTCTGGATGAGTGTGAGGACCCAAACCAATTCTGCAAAGCATGTCTGTTGTTTAATGTGAAGAAACAGAATTAACCCAAAGCTGTTGGGACAGTAGATCCTCTCAGCCTGTACATGTGCTGGTTACTCAGTGAAAAGTCCATCTCCTTTCCTTTTGTACATCTCCTGTCTAAACAATAGTAAATACTGCTTATTTGATAGACTTGTCCCTTCTGGGCACTGGGATTTGATAATTTATATTTCTGTTTTGTTTTTGTTTTTGTTTTTTTTTTTGGTTTAATAGTACTGAGAGTTTAGAAACAGGAAAAGCCCACAGGCTCTTTGGACTTGTTTTTGTTTTCCCCTAGCTAAACAAACTGTTCTGCAAATAAGGATTTGAAACCTGCTCTCCCCCCTCATCCCTGCTCCTCACCCCAAAACAAAAATAAAACAAACCTATAGTGGCTGTGGCGGCTGCTGCAGGCACACACTGGTGTAAAATATAGAGAGAGTAAATATATTATTTCACTTGGCATGGTGCTGGCAAAGAACCCCCAGCTGGCACTATTCATGTAACATGATCCAAACTTTGCATGTACACACAGAATAAGAAGGATCAATTGGCAAACTCCGGTGCCGCCTGGCACAAGCATCTTCACGCTCTCTCTGGAACCAAAGAACTAAAGAATTCTGCACTTTCCAGAAGAAATCCGTTTTTGCTTTTCTAGAGTTTTATTGTTTTGCTTTTCCTCCTCGCCGCCACCTCCCTTGGCTCCTTCTTAACTTCACTGTGTTATTTAGTCTCATCGCCCTTGTTACAGTTCACCATGCAGCTCTGGGAAGGGGAAGGGGCTAAGGTGGAGGTGGCAGCATTAGTATTGTTAGTGGAGTCCATGCCGTTGGAGATGGCTACTGAATTGACCTCAGAGTTTATGGGTTTCGAAAGGTCGATGCCTTGGATGAGGCGGATCAGCTGTTTTACCTTCTCCAAGGAGCTGTGCATCTCCTTCTGTTTTGCAAGGATGGTGTTCTTCATTTCCATGCATTTCTGCAGCAAAAACAGAAAAGCAGTAATAAGATCAAGCTTATGAATGAAAGGAGGTTAAGAGAAGGAATATGATATGCACAGATCTCAATGGAAGTACACAGAAAAGACTGCAGCTACAGTTTCACTTTCCCACCCTAGAAGAAAAAGAATCTCAGGGCTGTGTTCACAGGAGAATTGGTATTTGCAGGCTGAGGAATTAAATTGCCAGTACGTAGCTGTCACCTGGTATGGCCCCCTTTCATCCCAAGGTGCTTTGCAAATCCAGACAGACAGCTCCATCCTTTTGTGTTCCTTCTGAAACTTCCAACTATCTGTTCTTATTATTTTTCTGTTAGTATTGCATTGCTGAAATTTCTTTAGCTCAGATCTGCAAACTCAGGCATCCTACTGCAGCTGAGTGCTGACAGCGTGTGTGCACGCTGCTAATGGGATACAGCCTTTGCTTTCACATACATTTTAGCAGGAACATCACTTCCTCCTCTCAATAAATAAAGGGGCACTTGAAAAGAAAAACAAGACCTTCTTCACTTGAAAATCTTATTTTGTAGCCACTTACTTTCTCTTAGAAGTGCTAGAAACCTAGCTAGCTCATCAGTTAAGAGTTAAAGAAAGTGCACAAATGATGTTTCAGGGGTGAAAAACTGCTTATATCTATACCTGAAACTCTCAAAAAGGTGGAGACTATGTCTGTAACATTCAGGTTCTTACATGAAGATGTACATTTTTTAAACCTTTTACCCACACTGATCTCCAGACACTGTTGGTTTCAGCTTTACTGTGTGTTTTCACACGCAGCTCGTGGCATCATAACACCACCACAAAATTTAGATCTGATGGCTCTTTTTTGGACAGTTCCAATCATAGAAAATAAACCATTCTCCTTACCTACTGTCAATCCCTCATGTTAAGGGCTTGCATCTGCCTGGGTACATCACTGAGAAACAGTGTTAGTGCTCTAGTGCTGCTCAGGTTATGCCCAGCTACCACTAACCAGCAGATGACAGCCTCCAGAACTGCTAACCAGCACCTCTCACCACCCGTTTGCTCACAATTGTGTTCCTTGTATCATCAGCATGTGGGGGTCTTTAAACATGGGACACTTACTTTTGTTCCAACAGGTAAAGACAGGCAGATCAGAAAGTGCATCTGTATTTGAAAAGTCTGTCCTTATGTATCCAGCCTTACAGATGCTGTCACCTAAGAGCCTGCAGTATTTTTCATTCTGTGATACTGACTAGGGCTCAAACTTTACAACAAGCAACTCGAGAGCCTGATTTGCATCTTAAGGTGAGAAGAGAGAGTAAATTAATATGTATGCTCCAATTACTGTGATAACCTAAGGTGGAAACTACAGTTTCTGGTTAGGAGTATGACATTGTCCAATTAATATTATCCAAAGGCAGGCACAGTGTCCAGCTGCCGACTGCCAAGGCAAGATGTCAGGAGCCCAAGAGCCAGTCATGGGTAAACGGTCACTTTTGTATTAGGAAGGTCTGGAAAGTGCACCAAGACTGTAACGCTAATTACAGACAGAGGCCCAACCATTCTTATTTAAGTGAGCCACTGGAGAATTTGACTTAATCTACTGCCCACAGACAATAATGCTCTGGGTCATGTTTGTCCCCTGCTGATATTATAGGTCACTGTATGTCTACAGTATATGCTGAGCATGGATCATGTATAAGTGAC